TGGAGCGTTCAGGACCACCTCTGTTGAGGCTTTATAAAATAGAATCAGGTGAAATGCCTTTAGACCTCAGGCGTAAAATGTTAGACGTAAGATATATGTTAATGTTAAAACTCAACGACAACTGTGTTGCATGATTGTGTTGAATATTTTCATGACCCATGGAAAAATGGTATGGGGCCTTATGGGAGGCGATCTCAGAGAACGGCTTTCAATCATACTGTTTCTGATGTTGCAATAGATGACACTACTGTTCTGCCTGAAAGGCCACCATGGCTGCTTGAATTGCCATCAGTGTATCTTGATGTCCTGGAACAGGTAAATAAATGTGAGCAAGCACCTCGAGTTAAAGGGGCACTGATCTAACGCAATTCCCCGGGACTTGTTGTTGCCTTTGTTATTGTTTTTTCCCAGTGAGTACCCGGATGTATAGCAGAAATCTAGACTAGTTCGGGACCTCTGCTGCGCCATTCGTAAGCGCATTAGTCGCTTTTATGGGTAGTAATAAGGGCGTATGGTCACATTGATGAACAAAATGAAATACAGTTTTCGAGATAATAAGGAAATGTAGGTATCTTTGTGGGTAGCATCGGTAATGGTGACGAAGTTTTGATAAGTCACTTGCTTGGTAATTTTGCGATTTTCGTTTACACTATTTTGACTTGCAACACAAAGTACATATTTCACCTGAGCATTGCTTTTTTTTACTGTCAAATGTGTAACAAATTTATTAAACGTCTAAATATTCAGTTATTTTACAAAGTGACTGAAAAACATTTCCATCTGTATTATTATGATAACGAATTCCAAACATTTTGATGTTTAATGTCATCACCAAGGGATGACAATGTTACGTTGAGAAAAGTACATTTCTATGTTGTTTGGCTTCTAATCCTACATAATAATCTGTTGTGATGTTTGTGGGCCCTTTTGATCGTCTTAATCAATCTTGACAGATTTTTTAGTCAAAATGACTGAAATATTTACACATTTTATAAATTGCCTGAGAGAATCACATTTTACAAATTGACGGTAATATATACAAGCTTACAAAAGAAAAGACCTGTGAAAACAACGTCTATCGCGCATTGAAGAATTTCCCAACAAAGACGTAGAGAAACAAGAACGAATCGGTTCAAATGAAGGAAAACAAAATGCAAATATCATAATTACAACCTACCAAATTTATGTGTATAAATTTTAGGCAGCGTCCTTGTTCGAGGAATGTATCCGTGAATATCCACACAAAGGAACACTATCCCACTCGTCTGCAGATGTACAAAGAAACTTATTCGATGTCACGTGTCTCAGTAACAATCAAATATTTTAAAAGATATATGTCGTTTCGGGATATTATAACCCGTGTTCGTTTCTCAACTGATCACTTGGATTGTTTCAGGTGTTTTACATAGGTGTCAAGTCTCAATGGCCGGCTTAGAAAGCCCACGTGACAACTATTTTCATAACGTTCACGGTTCCTAAAAAATCCATTGAGTGATAGATAACAATGATCAATTAATCAACGTATTATAAGTTAACCCTTTGAACAAAGTATGTTGTTTTTACATCGGCACTTCACGCCATGGTATGAGTGTATTCCCTTTGTTTTAGTAAACCTAGACATGTAAACACTCACTCTTGACATATCCACTGTGCAAGATAACAGTGATTAATCAATCAACGTATTTTCTGTTAATCCTTTGATGACTAGGAACGTTCCGTTGATTTACAAAAAAATAAATCAACTGATCATTCATCTCTTGCTGGGCTGCCACGTGCATATTACATAACACACATTTCACCTCACTTCAAACCTGGATTTAGATTGAATAATTACCCCAGACACAATAAATGCCAATTGGAACCTTTGTCAGGTAATCTAAGTGGTGCTACCACTAATTGTACCTGTAATAAATTCATTAACTGAGCATCAAGTGAATGACGACAAATACACAAGTGAAGGGTTATACGAGAAAACGTGGATGTCAACAAGCGAGTAGTAATCGTATTATCGACGCAAGCCGAAATCCGACAATGCTTTCACTGCATGGATACTTGTTTTAGTATAAAACTATAACCATCTGGGGTATTTCCAAATGACGACATCCGATGAGCTCCGCTGTTCTTTTTGTCTGCTTGGTTAGGCTGAAGAAATTAATTAACATGCGCCCTTTGTCGAAATCTGTATAGATCACAGTTAACCAATCAGTGTTTATGCAAAAATGCGTAAAACAAATATATCCTCCTGCCTCCAAGTTTATTTAGCTGTCCTTGCAGACGGTAGCCCAGTCTCTGGTCACGCTCAGTTGCGTAGCGTATCATCCGGGTACTCACGGGGGAAAAAACAATAACAAAGGCAACAACCAGTCCGGGGAATTGCGTTAGATCAGTGCCCCTTTAAAGCTATAGCTGAGGAACATATCCGAAGTTTACAATGGTTAAATGTCATGCAGATTTACACTGATGGCTGTAAGTGACCAGTGTCTGGTCGTGTTGATGCTGATATATTCATTGTTAATGAAAAGAGAACTTTCTGTCCGATTGGCTGATCACTTATCAGTATTTTCTGCTGAACTAGGAGCAATTATTGAAGCATTGCGTTGGATTATTTTTTAAGGCCTGTTTCAGCGGTAATTTTCAGTGACTCTGTCAGTGCATTGCAATCAATTCGGGTAGGTTCTTCCTCAGCGAGAAAGGACTTGATCAACATTATTCTCGTCCTTTATAATGACTTAAGTAAAGATCTGTTAGATGTTGGATTACTTGGAAATGAGATAGCTGATAATTGGCAAAAGCTGCATTAGAATTTGATGAACCAGAACAGGATGAAACAATTTTACCTTCTCCTGCAGAGTTAGGCACCTCAGTATGCTAAAACAAAATGGCAGCAGAGATGGGCATCATCCTTAAAAGGACGTCATCTCTATGGCATCGATCCTTTTATCACTAAATTACACATATATAGAAATAATCGGATAGAGGAGGTTCTCTTAACCAGACTTCGTCTTCGGCATTGTGGTCTTGGTGCTTATCTAAATGTTATTAATAAAGACATTTCTGCACATTGTACAGTGTGTAATCAGCTTGATAATGTAGCTCATTTTTATTGCATTGCCAATCGTATGTTAATCAGCGTAAGGCAATGGTGGAGTCTCTAACAGTTCTCAATATTGACTTCTCATTGTCTGGTATGTTATGTTCTCGGAATATTGTTCACAATGACGTTCAGAATGTCTTTCTCGCTTGTATTAAAGCGTGTGTCAGTTTTGATACTTTATAAAATATCTAGGTACTTACCAAACCTTTATTATGGGCAAGGTGTAAATGGGCCTAGTTGCCCGAACACCTATAAAACCTTTAAATGATCAATCAATCAATAATTTTATCAGTTACTCTAGCACTTGCCTGAATCATATCTACAGACACTTTTAGACACAGAGTTGTAGATGTATAGTTGACCAAATATGGACGTCGAGGAATTTTTCTCTTTCATGGCATAATGCCATTGTCGTACCCATTCCAAAACCTGGCCGAGATCATACAGATCCCTCAATTTATTACCCTATATCTTTAACCAGTTGCGTTTGCAAAATCCTTATTACTAATATTCAATGTGGTTTCCGGAAAAAATAGAAGAACTATTTATGATTTTGTACCATTAGAGTCCTTTGTTCAAAAAGCTATTGATGAAGACGTTTTATCAATTTTCTTTGATCTTGAGAAAGCATTCGATTCTACCAAGCAGCATGGCACTTTATAACATAATTCTTAACAGGCACTTTCAAGTTCGAGTCCGACCATTATAATCAGGAATAGGTTGTTACACAATCAATATTAACAGCACTTAAATATAACAATAACCAATCCAAACATAAACAATCCATTATTTTTTCAGATTCCCCGTCGTGTCTTTAGGCTCTTGAAACTATTTCATATAAACATCCACTTCGAATCCAGAATGTTTAATTATTTAAGGATCTTGCTACTGGCAAAGATGACATCCTCTTTTGTTTGTTACCTAGCCATGTTGGAATCATTGGTTGGCAAATGACCGAAGCTACTGCAAAAGGAGCAATATGTGCCTCCATTTCTGATCACATACACTGATTATAAACCCGTGATTAAATCTTACGTCCGAGATCTAGTGCAAAAGAAGTCGGACACCCAAGTTGGTATTAATAAATTACATGAAATCAACAATATATCGGTGAAACCTACTCGGGTTGTCAGTCAAGATATTAAGGGGTCATTTTACTAGAAAGTCGTATTGGCCATACTTGATATACACGTTAGTGAGTTAAAATTTAACGTCGCATCGGAATTATTTCAGCCATATAGCAAATGTACACATGAATATATGTTGAATTGGGGATCCCTTTTGATGAAAGATCACGACCAAGCATGTTCTACATGAATGTTGATTTTTCCATCACAAGGGATAACTATTTCAAGGTTTTATCCATTAAGGATCCTTTTAACATAGATTAATTCCCATTTAAATATTGGGTTTTTTAAAGAAATAGATTTGTATGATATATTTTGATAATATGTTTTGTGTAAAATAAATAACCTTTTAATATTAAATTTAAATGTATTTATATGTGAGATTGTTAGTAGCTGTAAGCCGTGAAGATTCAGGTGAAGATAGGTCTTCAGCAACCAATGCTTGCTGTGAAAGGTGACTTTGCTTGGCGTAAGAGACGACTGACGGGATCGAGTGGTCAGGCTCACTCACATAGGTGATGTATGTAATCGTATCCCAATTGTGTGGATCAATGATCATGATGCCTATCACTGAATTATATTGTCCAGACTCGACTTTTTACAGACCGCCATCATATAGTTTGAATATTGCTGAGTGCGGCGTTACACAGCTACAAACAAAATAAAACAAATATCATGCCTTATACTATGTCAATCAACAAATGTAATAGTCAAGATGTGAAACGCATGCATGCGCGCACCAAAACCCCCACATTTAAGAGAATGTTTCTACTCCACAGCTGATGTCTATAAACCGGATGTATGTTCCGAAGACCCTATTCCAAACGCAACCTGTAGTTCTGAGTCCAAGATGGCAGGGAGTATCAGATCTTGTACCTGTCATACCAACTACAGAGATGTACCTCTGGACGTCGTCAGTGTCAACAACACCTGCCTGGTCAATGGCAGCTGGGCTACACCCTTGATTAACTGCACAGGTAAACCTTTATCATTATGTAAATCATCGTGGCTTTGTTTAGTTGTTTTGTTTTGTGGCTTAATCATGGACACTTGTTAGCCGAAGTGCAGCGATTCAGCGTCCCTTCATTGCCAAAACCTGCTGGTCGTAAGACAGAAACCCGAATCAGATCCTAGTAAATTACTTAATATGTAAGCAGTCTTGGCTTGCCCAGTTAAACATCAGTTTAAAGCAACGTTAATTAAACGATCAAGTTTTTCGTGACTTTCACTATTAATTATTATCATGTCTAAATCATTTCATTTCCAGGTCCCTACATCAGACTGACCACGCCACGTATCAGCACATACACTTTCCAACAGATATCTGCTAGCAACCTACGCACAATCTCAGGTGGCACCTCTACCGTGGTGTTTCTGGTCAAGACGTGCCACGATGCCAACTTTGCCCTGCACACAAGTCCTAACACCTACACCACTGATGTGTATGAAGTTGGCTTTGGTGGGCATGCGAACACGAAATCTTTTATTTGTGAATGCTTTCAGTGCAGTATAATGGATTCCCATATTGAATCATCTATTGTATCATGCAACGAGTACAGACCATTTTGGCTCAGCTGGAAGAATGGCGTCATCTCTGCGGGAAGAGGACCGGTTGCTGGGACCCAGAAATTCATGCAATGGACGCCAACTCAAGCCATTGTGATAAATCACGTTAGTATCAGTACCTATATTAACAATCCTGGTACGTGGCTCTTCCGAGGGCAGTAAAGTACTCACTGATGGAGAACCTCATGACTGCGCTTTTTGTCACCCTTCAACCCCGTGTTATCATTTACTTGTTCCTTATCCCTACTCTCGATATGCAGCCTTCTATACCCCGAATTAACAGACACTATGATCAAATCCCACCGTTGACAAAATATATATACTGTTGTCTGCTGGCATTTATGATACTGGCTACAACAGGGGAACTACACTGAAGGACATTTCGCATGGAACCAGGAACAACAGTAATCGGAGGCAGGGTGAAGAAAACTGAATTGAACACTTCGATCACTCCACCCCAGCACGAGAGAGACGACAGACTATACATAGAGGGGTGGCCTGGGCCAAGATGATTGTAGGGTGTTTCATACAGGTTCACCTACAATTTCCCCTTGTTGACTGGGTCTATAAAATTTAATTTCTGGAACCTGTCTGGACTAAAATCCAAAGTTTACGATTCTGAATATATTACCTTTGTTAACTTATTTGATATTGTCGGGCTTACTGAAACATGGTTGAAGGAGACAGATTTGGGTGGTTTATTCAGTGATTTTGCTATCTGCACAAAGATGGTGAGTGGATATCAACCGGTGACAAATCAGAACACTTAAGCACATCTTGCAAAGTGGACTAAAGTGTGTGGTAGTGGTATATTGATTTTACTAGATAAGTAAATATGTGGTCTAAAGAAAGACCTTTTATATGCATGTGCATATATTCACCCGGAGTCTTCAACCTGGTATGGGGCGGTCGGGTAGCCTACTGGTTTAAGCGTTCGCTCATCACGCTGAAGACCCGAGTTCGAATCCCGACATGGGTACAATGTGTGAAGCCCATTTCTGGTGTCCCGCCCTGATATTGCTGGAATATTGCTAAAACCGGCTTAAAACCATACTCACTCACTCACTTCAACCTGGTATAATAACCCGTTACGTCAATGTAAAAACGACATCTCACTATTACAAGATGATCTGTTGCATCTGCTTTCTAAATGTGATAATGTGTATGTTATCATCGGACTTGATTCAACTCTAGGACTGGCACACTACCTGATTTTGTTGAAGATGATATCCTTGAATTCTTGGAAGGGTCTGAGTATTACTTAACTTTAACATAAAACGATTTTCGGTAGATTCTACTATAAACAGGTTTGGTAAATGTTTGTCAGATATGTGCAGTATTCTTAACATCCATATTATGAATGGAAGATGTGAATCAGACCGCATCGTCAGTGGTATGATAGTTGTTGTGATTTTATTAAAAAAAAGAAAGATGTAGATGTTTACATATATTTCGAAGGAAAAAAGATTTGGTTTCATTAGAAAATTATCAGCGCATCCGGAATCAGTATAATGAAACATGTAGAGAAAAGAAAGTTAAATATTATAAAATGAAACAGGAACTTCTTGAGAAAAACATTCATAATTCAAAAGTCTTTTGGTCAACTCTTAAAAAGCTCCTAATAGTCACAATGATATTGGTATTGAAAATTGGTATGATCACTTTACAAAGTTATTATTAGCTCATGATGACAGTGATGATGACTTTCTTTCTGGATTTGAAGTTGACAGTATAACATATGATGATATCCACTTATCACGAGACATCGATTACGAGTGATGAAATAAGAGAATGCATTTCTCATCTTAAAAATGGTAAATCTGCTGGATATGACAAACTTATTTCAGATTTTTTTAAACATTCTACAGATATCCTTGTACCTATGTGAGGCATTGTGTTATCAAGCATTTTTAGCAAAGTGTTCATATATATTAATAACAAAAGGTTAATATTCTGGGCTGATGCTTAGGAAAAGATTAGTGAGTCTCAATCTGGTTTCAGGCAAGGATACTCGACAACTGATAATATATTTATGTTGCAAACAATAATACAAAAGTACCTAGCAAAGGAGGGTGGTAAATTATAAGCATTTTTGTAGATTTCTCAAAAGTTTTTGATTCTGTTAGCAAAAATAAATTATGGTCACGTTTTAAAGCACATGGTATTTGCAGTAAAAATGGAAAGTTAATGTGCTGTGTATCAGAATGTAAAGCTTTATGTGCGAAAAAACAGTACTGTGTCTGACACATTTGAAAACAAAATTGTCGTTAAATAAAAAAAAAGCAAAAGCAAATTAATCAGCTTGAATGTTATTGCACAGAATGGAATTTGTCTGTCAACAAGAATAAAAAAGTTATTGTTTTTAAAACTGGTGGTACACTAGCTAGAAGAGCGAAATGGCTTTATCAAGGACATTCATAAGATGTTGTATCGTTCTATAAGTACTTAGGTGTATATTTTACAAATAGATTGTCATAATAATGCATGCTTACCAAGCTGCTGTACAAGCTAAGATGTTTATCGGAATTCTTTAACATATGTAAGTTCTTGGAAATATCGTCTAAGCTAATGGTCTATGGAGAATGTGGAGGTTCTAACATGTTATTACCCTTTGATCAACAAGGACACAATGGCTGGGCATCTTCTGTTAAGCATCAACTTTATTCATGTGGTTATTGCAATATATGGTTGGTTGTTGTTTGTTTTGTTGTTTAACGCCGGCACAGACGGCGGTCTGTAAATAGTCGAGTCTGGACCAGACCATCCAGTGATTAATATCATGAGCATCGATCCACGCAATTGGGATCGATAACATGCATCAACCACGTCAGCGAGCCTGACCACCTAATCCCGTTAGTCGCCTCTTACGACAAGCATATGTCACCTTTTACGGCAAGCATGGGTTGCTGAAGACCTATTCTATCCCGGATCTTCAAGGGCCTGTAATATATTGAAATATATACCAGGTTACGAATATACCAGATCATTTCACTCAGACCCTGAAAGATATGTACATTCAAAATTGGCATTTTTACTTATCAGTATCAAAGAAACTATCAAGTTATTCCGTCTTTAAAAACAGCTTCTGTGGAGGGCAATACTTATGTGACACTAAAACCATTTCGAATTGCACTTGCATGATTCAGATGTGGTTCAAACGCACTCTTTATCGAGACGGGAAGATATATGGTGAGCATGAGAGAACACACAATTTGTCAGTTTTGTGAATTAAACACTGTAGAAAGTGAATACCATTTCTTCTACTTTGTCAGTTTTATGCCGAACTCAGAAAACAGTTCACAGAAATTTGCTACATTAATGTCAAGTAAGAATGAAGTGATAACGAAAAAACTGTCAATGTACATATTGCATGCTATGAAGCTAAGAAGCTCCAAATGTGTTACCTTATAAATGTATATGCACCCATTACTATATAACATTAACTATAGAGAAATGGATACACAAAGACTCACATATAGAGGTAATTTCATCTTATACTTACCTTTGGAATATTGTTTACAAGGACTTTGAGTTGGAATGAATATCTAGAATCTACATCTGTTAAAGCTAAGAAAGTGTTGATGTCAATCCTACAAAGTTTGTTAAAATATCATGATCTGCCCTGTAATTTATGCTTTCAAATTTTTGATACAAGGATAAATTAGAAAAAGTTCATCTTAATGCGTGTAAACGTGTAATTGGGGTTCGATCGTCCACCCCAAATGGTATTGTACTTGGGGAATGTCGCAGATATCCGTTGTATATATTTTCGCTTAAGCGCTGTATAAATTATTGTTTAAAACTAACGACTCTTTCATCCATCCGATACCCAGTAAAAACCTATAACATGCTGTTCTATCTGGATCAAAATGCCAGTCACTCACGCAATAAAAATTATTCGGCAACAAATATCGAAATCACCAAATCACCCAAATATTAATTTGTTTTGCATACTCATGTCAACCCTAAATATTACTTTATTACAAAGTATTGCATTGTACATACATCATGCATTGTTAGTTAGAAGAAACACCCATACCTTGTAAATACGTTGAACTATGGGCCAATGGCCTTTCAGTTTGCAATGAATAAAACAATTTAACTATAGGCCTATGGCCTCTCGGTATTATGAATAAACACATATACAACAATTTGCATTTCTCACGTTGGAGATTAATTAATTGACCTATTGATTTCTCGTTCGCTAAAGCATTACATTACTGTATTCATGCTAAAATCCAAACCTCGACTTTATAGAATTTAAGAACAAGGTCAAAGTGCAAATGTAAACATAAGTATAAAAACACGTTGAGCCCCACTAATACCTACCTTTTACCGATCTTGAAAAAAATAATAAATGAAAATTACCAATGGCCTTAAGCGAATGTTGAGCTGTCAGTATCGTTGAAGTCCACAGTTCACATGGAGGTCAACATTGCAAAGGTCACCAACAACGGAACACATATTAATCTCGATTACTCGATTTACCCGACCCGTAAAGATCCGGGTTAGAATTGGTCTTTAGCAACCCATGTTTGCCGTAAAAGGTGACTACCAGGGCCATATGGTCAGGCTCGCTGTCTTGGTTGTTGCATGTCATCGATCTCAATTGCGTGGATCAATGCTCATGATGTCAATTACTGGATTGTCTGGTCCGGACTCGATTATTTACAGATCACCGTAATGAGCCTGGAATATTTCTGAGTGCGGGGTTTAATAAAAACACAACAAAAAAACGATTCACTGGTACAACATTTCATCAAATGTTAAACAAAATTGAGAAATGGCCATAGACAGCCTTTTAAAAATTGAATTTCTGATTTGAACCTTTCTATTAAATGCAGCTGCCTTCAGTGGAGGGGTTGGAGCTTTAGATTTGAACCTCTGTATTAAATGCAGCCGCCTTCAGTGGAGGGATGGGAGCTTCAGATTTGAACCTCTGTAATAAATGCAGCTGCCTTCAGTGGAGGGATGGGAGCTTCAGATTTGAACCTCTGTAAAAAATGCAGCTGCCTTCAGTGGAGGGGTGGGAGCTTTAGATTTGAACCTCTGTAATAAATGCAGCTGCCTTCATTTGGGGGATAGGAGCTTTAGATTTGAACCTCTGTAATAAATGCAGCTGCCTTCAGTGGAGAGGTTGGAGCTTTAGATTTGAACCTCTGTAATAAATGCAGCTGCCTTCAGTGGAGGGGTGGGAGCGTCCGATTTGAACCTCTGTAATAAATGCAGCCGCCTTCAGTGGAGGGATGGGAGCTTCAGATTTGAACCTCTGTAATAAATGCAGCCGCCTTCAGTGGAGGGATGGGAGCTTCAGATTTGAACCTCTGTAATAAATGCAGCTGCCTTCAGTGGAGGGGTGGGAGCTTCAGATTTGAACCTCTGTAATAAATTTAGCTGCCGTCAGAGGAGGGATGGGAGCTTTAGATTTGAACCTCTGTAATAAATGCAGCCGCCTTCAGTGGAGGGATGGGAGCTTCAGATTCATTGGTTCCCTGGTTTCAGAGGAGAAGCTGTTTACAGATGACGACCCAGGATGAGCAGGCCATGTGCTAAACCTTAATCAATACATTGACCCTTTGTGAACATTCAATATACATTCTCTTCTTGATGACAATTTCAACGGATACTTGATCAATTGATGGTTCTTCAAATGAAACTATTGACAAATTCACAGCTTTACTTAATTGATTATCAAGTGTTTGTGGAGACATGACGAGGAATGATAATAAGGGATAAAGCGAAAATGTGTTGATCACAACATGGAGAAGTAGAAGCATACCAAGATGAACCTAACAACATCGATTACATAAGTATACTATGCAAACTAACGAGCAAAAATACTGCTGGAAGAAAACAAAAGGAATGACATTAAATTCCATAGCAAACTGTAAAACCTTGGAAAAGGTAAGCAAATACCTTTTAGCGA